GGGGAGCCGGAGGGTCCGTGCCCGCCTGATGAACGGCCTCTTGGCTCGCTTCGGAGCAGCTTTGGCACGGAAAAGGAAAGGTTTTTCCGCAGCTTGACTGCTTTGGGCTCCCTCCACGCTGACAAACCAACCACAGGGTGCCAAGCCTTTAACCGGGGGCCATCTGCCCCACCTTGGCATCGGCCCGTCACTCCGGTCCCCGGGTCATCACCCCCGGGTTTGACTGCAGCTCTCGTTACCACCGAGCTTGTCACGACCCTCTTGCGTGACGTGCTGGAAGCGAGGCAACGACTGCAGCTGCTTTGGGCTCCCTCCACGCTGACAAACCAACCACAGGGTGCCAAGCCTTTAACCGGGGGCCATCTGCCCCACCTTGGCATCGGCCCGTCACTCCGGTCCCCGGGTCATCACCCCCGGGTTTGACTGCAGCTCTCGTTACCACCGAGCTTGTCACGACCCTCTTGCGTGACGTGCTGGAAGCGAGGCAACGACTGCAGCCACCGGGCACCGCTCTTACTGCTCGCCACTCGAGCCTCTTCGGGAGTCGCACACCAACAGCTTCGTCTTGCCACCAAAATCAATCCCGAAGCAATGTCCCTCTTCTTAATCACGCCGTGCGGCTGCGTTACAGCAATAAATGCCCAATTAAGGCTGATTTCGCCCAAGCCCCTCTTTCCCAAGTCTTTACCGCATACCAATCGATCGCACGGCCATTCACTAACCTGAAGCAAGCTGGAAATCGTTTCCAAAAGGAAAACTGCAGGGGAAAAAGCAGCCCTGACGCAGCAGAGCTTGCAGGAAAAGGTGGTGGGAGGGCCGGGAGGAGGCTGCTGGGGAAAGGCTCCACGGCTCTGTCCCTACGCACCTTCAGGCGGGCGCTCCTGGGAGAGGGACAGGCAGATCCCCAGCTCCGGTGCTCTGTACTTACATTTTTGGGTGACCCCTCCTCACTCCTCTGCCCCGTACCTGGTGTGGGTCGGCATCATCGAGCTCTTCCACGGGAGCAGAGGCAGCTTCACACCGTAATGCCGAGGAGACTGAGACCTGCTCACCACCAAAGGCAGCTCTTCCCTCTCCCAATTAGCAGAGCAAACCCACACTGGGTTCTTCCCCACTGTGATGCTTTTGCTTTAAAGTTCTGTGAAGCATTGAAATTGCCATTTCTAAGTTTAGCACACGGCTCCAGCTCCACCAGCCCGCTGGGCTTTGCAGAGATGAGAGCAAGAGGAGCTGCTGAAGGGGAGCAACCCCTCCCAGAAGAGGCCTGGCATCCCCTTTTATAGCTAATTGGGGAATTGCTTTCACCTCTTCCAGCCGCTCTGAGCTTTAGGGCCTTCAGCCATATCATCACGCTTGTCCTAAACCCAAAAATGATTTTTTTTCTCCCCAAACCCCCCCTCTGAGCGTGGCTGGCTGACGCCCTGCGCCCGTACGCCCAGCGCTGCTCGGAGCGGGCGCTGGCAGCCCCAAGGGAGGGAGCACGAAGCGCGCAGCGCGCGTCTGCCACGTCAAATCCCAACAGCTTCCTTCAGCGCGCGGGAGCTTGGCTTTATTCGGCGTTAAAGGCATCCACATCATCTGTAAACACACAGAGGAGCGAGCAGCCGGGAAATAAAAATCTGACCCTGACTCCCGCGTGCCCCTAAGCACCCCACGCGCGCTGCAGAAGCTTTCTCAAGCGTCGTGCAAAGAGCATTTTAGTGCCAAAGCTTTTTCCCCAAGCTCTCAAAAATGTCAATATTGATGCTAGCTGAAGGTAAACGCCCGCTGATGGAAAAGGCCACGTATCTCTGGCGTGCCTCCGCGCCGGCCCTGCAAGCGCCGAGGGTCTCGAGAGCGTCCGTGATAAAAGGTGACCCCCAGGCATTCC